CCTTCAAGAGAAATTTGGATGCTTATCTTGCTGGGATCCTATGACCCCAGCTGACTTCCTTCCCCTGGGGCAGGAGCCTGGACTCGATGATCTTACAAGGTCCTTTTCAGCCTTAATGTCTATGAAATCTATGAAATGTGATGCCATGGAGAAGCAGTAGCAGGTGCTTCAGGGAAAATCAACAGGAATGATAGCCTTTAAGTGCCAATAAACAAAGCTGATTAGAGATTTCTTTCTACCATTGACCCGCATTTGACATTTTCATTGAATATCAAGATGCCTTGGCAGATACCCAATGTGAAGAAAATGATCAATCAGAATTACAAGCTAAACTGAAAGTATTCTCACAGCCTTCCTCCCTGGCTGGAACAATGCAGAATGTAAACAGGATCCACTTATAATAGTAGTTTCCATAATACTAACTCCAAACATCTTTCAGGTGCTCAGACATCTGGTTTAACTAAACTGTCATCAGGGAGGTTGCCCGCCAGGGCCAATATTTTAAGTTTCATAGTTTCTAGGGTCGGAAGGGACCTGAGCAGATCATCTAGCCCGACCCCCTGCCATGGCAGGAAAGAGTACTGGGGTCAAACGACCCCAGTAAGGTGGTCATCCAACCTCCTCTTAAAAACCCCCAGGGTGGGAGCCTGCACCACCTCACTTGGAAGCTGGTTCCAGACCCTAGCCGCCCTGACCGTGAAGTAGCGCCTCCTGATGTCCAACTTAAACCTTCCCTCCGCCAGCTTGTGACCATTGTTCCTGGTCACTCCTTGCGGCGCTCGGGGGAACAGGGACTCCCCCAGCGCCTGCTGATCCCCCCTAACCAGTTTATAACAGGCCACAAGATCCCCCCTCAGCCTTCTCTTTTGAAGGCTGAACAGGTTCAGGTCCCGCAACCTTTCCTCATAGGACCTACCCTGCTGTCCCTTGATCATACGAGTGGCCCTCCTCTGGACCCTCTCGATGCTGTCCACATCCCTCTTAAAATGCGGCGCCCAGAACTGGATGCAGTACTCCAGCTGTGGCCTGACCAGTTTCATGCTCTGGTAAGCTTGTTCATAATAATAAATGCGAGGAGCAAGGCTCTCCTCAGGTACACTGTTAATACAAAATTTGTGGGTGCTGGCTTGAGAGCTGTCAACCAATTTGGTACTAGGGAACTAAGACTTAAATCAGAAATGTTAATCCTTTGCACTAATTTCTTTTTCAGATTTACACACTACCTGCCATCATTAGCAAGAAAGAAGAAAGTAAGTTTTTCATTATAGAAAGTTATGAAATGTACCTACATTTTTAAAATGCCCTTCTCTTCTGGCAGACAAGGTTCTTTGGGTAAATCTGATATCTTCTATTAGACCATTAGTTGGAATTTGCAAGCTTTTGGGTACAAACACTCTTCTTCAGGCTGAAAAAGCATCTGCAGTTGTACTGTGCTCTTCCTGGATGGAATAGAATAGAATCAAAGCCAGAGGTCAGCATGCAAGAATACCAGTCAGTTAAAATGCAAATTAAGGCAGTCAATGGGTAAGAAACAGGTAAGGGTCCAGCGGAGAAGAAGGGGAATGTAGACCTGGTGATAAGATGTAGCTGGTGAATAGTAGAGAGGTTATCTGGGCTATCAGATGGCAGGGAAGTTAGAATGTGCCATAAATCGTGGACATTTTGTCCATGATTTTTTGTATCCAGTAGATTTATGAAGTAAAGTTCATAGGCTCGTCTGTGAAAGGTGTTTTGTAAATTCCTTTTCAGGATTAGAACTGAGAGATTAGGGAGAGGGTGGTTGTCTTGTGAGAAATGTGCCACCACAGGTAATTGGATATTCTTGTCTTTGAGAGATTTTCAGTGTGCGTTCATTCTGGTAGTTGTTGTTTGGTTTCTCCTACATATTTTCCATCAGTGTATTTAGTGCACTGGGTGAGATATGTTGCATTTCTGGAGGTGCAAGTGTAAGATCCAGGAAAGGTGATGGTTTTGTTTTGGGGTGTAGTTATTGTGGGAGTGATGGAGATATGTTGGCAGGTTTTACATTTCTTGTCATGGCATGGTCTGAATCTATTTGGTGCGTCTTGGGCCATGGGAAGTTTGCTTCTGGTGATGAGGTTGGTGAGTTTCAGTGCTTGTTTAAAATCTAGGATTAGTGATTCTCAGAAGATCTGTTTAAAAACTGGGTTTCTTCTAGTATGGGTGCAATGATATGAGGATTTTCTGCATAGGTCCAGGGAGGGATATGTCATAACTAATGGTGTGCAATTCATGGGGATTTTCTTTTTGTACTGCGTCAGTTTTTTATGTGGTATCTAGGTGGCTCTTTCAAAAGTATGATCCATCTCTCTGTAGGAGTGTCCTTGTTGAGTGAAGGCCCTTTTGATATTTGTGAGGTGACAATCACTGGTGTTCTCAGTGCAAATTCAGTGGTTTTGGAGGGTTTGGCTGTATATAGTAGCTTTCTTGGTGTGTTTAGGGTGATTGCTGGTTCTGTACTGATATATATGTTGGTCCATGGGTTTCTTGCATGTGGTAGTTTGTATTTTACCATTCTGGATAGTGATCATAATGTCTAAAAAGGAAATGTTGGTGCTGGAGTACAGTAGACCCTCAATTTATGCGAGTATTGTGTTCTAGGGGAATTTTGTATAAATCAAATGCATGTAAGTCAGGTTGACTTTCTCCATAGGAAATAATAGAATAGTGTGGGGTTGCGTACCCCAGACCTACCTTAGCCAGAGCTTTTTTCCCCCTTTTCTTGGTGGAATCGCCTTTAGGAGGTGCGTCTAGCATTTCACTTATGCATCTAGAGATGTTGCTACCACAATGGCAGCAAAGCTCCGCTTGATTCCACCTGCAAATCTTGTGAGACGTTAACGTATATATGCGAATCTCATGAGCATTAACGTATAAATGCAAATGATGTGCATCTCAAGGGGCATTTTCCAGTCCAGACCCTAATAAAAAAAATCATGTAAACGCAAGACACGTGTAAGTCAGAATCACGTAAATCAGGGATCTACTGTATTCAAAATATCATCTGATGAAATGGTGATGATTATTGAATTTCTGAGGAAATCAATCGGAGATTGCAGGTTTCAGTCCAAGTGATGAAAAGGTCATTGATATATCTGAAGTATAGCAAGGGTTTGATGGTGCAGTCCTTCAGGAATTCTTCTTCCAGGTTGCCCATAAAAAGGTTGGCGTATTGTGGCATTTTGGTGCACATAGCTGTGCCCATGGTCTAGAGGAAGTGTTGGTTATTGAAAGTGAAGTTGTGTGTGAAGCTGAAGTGTATAAGTTCAGTAGTATCTTTAGGTCTGAACTCTAAATTGTAATCTTGCTTTTGTAAATATGTAAGGCAGGCCTCTTTTCTGGCATATTCAATTCCAGATATTTTAAAATATGAAAATATGAAACTATGAAAATACCTTTCCTGTATTGCTGCAAATTACTATTCTCTCAAGTTTCAACAAAAACCATCCCATCCCAACATTCAGTTATATACACTGTGAAAAAGTCTTACATTTGTGTAACATCCAGTAAAAATTGAGGCAAAATTCAATCAACAATGCATATAATTATTCTAAAAATAGTGTACTATATGCCAATTTCTCTTCAGATAGATAACTAGATATACATAACTAATATATATAGACAGATTAGGTTAAAGCAGATATAGAATACCTACATTGATATAGATAGGTTAGTTAAAATTTTAAGTTGTCGTTTTCTACTTGATGGTGTTTATTTTAACTGTAATGAATATATCATTTAAAAAAAATTAATTCAGCTAGTTAGAAAAGTGTGCAGTGAAAATGAAAAATATATTAATATAATTTGACATTAATATAGTAATGTCAAAAGGTGCTTGTTGACCCTATTCATTAATAGTTTTACCGTAACGGTTGCTTGTCTAGCTACCTTTTCTGGCCATCTTAAAACGAGAACATTTAAATTGAAGGCTGCAGTTTTCAGAAAAACCTAAAGGCATTAGGCACATAAACTCCACTGAAACCATATTGGAGTTGAGCATCTTTGAAAATTTCAACCACAGTATGTAATATATCTTAACAAAATAAAATAGCAAAGTATTGAGCTAAGGGAAAGGTGTCTCATGGATTCTGCAAGAATCTGGTTTTGATTTATTCCCATATTGTTTTGTCTCTGCAGGTCTGAAAGGCATAGTCTGTGTGTGTGGTATTCCTAAAATATACATCCTCTTATACTGTCAAACTTTCCACCATACAAGTGTTAGGGTATGGTTGTGGTCTTTTATTTGTAACAGAAAAAGATATTAGATTATTTTTTTAAAAGATGCATGCAAAAACCCTGAATATATGTGTGTTAGTTCTTTAATTATCAGAAAGTGTGTTTGCCTTTGTGTGAAGGAGTAGAGATTGAATCAACAATTACATAAAGGAAAGCTACTAACTCGAGATGTTTTGCTTTCAGCAACAACAGCATAGAAACCATGCTGAGGCTAACATAAAGACTCAGTTATACACAAAATGAGATTAATGTGAATAATGTGATTTTGTTCAATTTATAGTGTTCTTAAATGAAGCAGGCTTTAACTTTGTGAGGAAATGTATTCATGCTGTGGAAACAAGAGGTATGTCTCAAATTTTACATAACACATCTATTGTACATATACACTTATATATACTGTATTGTCTATTTGGTATTATATTTTCACTTTGAAAAATTTTTCTGTGCCTTGAGTAAATAGGAAATATTTTTCCTAACTTCATTTTGGAATCTTAGCCAACAGACATTAAAAAGAAGGTGCATCAGGAGCTGATGTATGATCCCAGCAATCACACCTCTGCCACGCCACATGTGCTTGGAAGGAAGCATAATGATGGGATAAAGGAATAGACCCCATCACAGCATATTGTTGGTGCTGGGGGAGCCCAGTGGTCTCTGCCTCTGGAGCCCATGAGTGTGCTCCAGAGGCAGAGACTACTGGCCACACATTCAGTCAGAGGTGTGGTAGGAACCAGCCATATAATTATTACACATATTTTGTGTAATAACTTTATCACTTATTCCTGCTGGGGGGGGTTTCACAGCATTACTTGAATGAATGTCACTTCTTAAAATAGGATTAACCAGTTAATCGTTTTACATGCAATGCATATCGGGGCCTTAATGTCATTTAGCTTTTACTTTCTGTGGCTTGTTATGCCTAAAAGTTGTCAAAAATCCTTTCATAAAAACTTTAAATTTATAATTTATGTGTAAATGTCTTTCTTGACTTTTCTTCTATCAGTAAATGTAATACTCAGAACTCCAATAATTTTATTGCTCTTATATCAGACATGCAGTTTGTGTTTAATATCTGTAATTCAGTGGTATAGTATGTGTGTACTATATGGGGAAAAAACAAAATAAAAGTCAAGCTGATGTTGATAGGTAATTTTTTACTAGTCAGAGTCCATCAGTCCTTGGTTCACCCAGGTGAAAGCACTAAGATTATCTTCTTGTACCTGAAAACAAAATTTGAACCACCATGTTCTAAGATACAATATCAGCTGAAGCATTTTGAAATGGTAAACCTTGATTTGAAACACTTAACAAAATTTAATAACGTTATTAGTATTAAAAGCAAATTTGTGTATTAGAGATTTTTTTTTTTTTGGAGGGAGGGGTTTTGTTTTGTTTT